AGTATTATAAATTTTTTTTTTGTATTTTAGCAAAAACCAAATTTTGCTTATGTATACCTTAACATAAAATGTTATTATATAATCATTTTAAGTCTAGAAAAATGCTTGATCCTGAGAGTATTGATAACTGCCAATCCTCGCAGGTATCATTAGTTGACAACATGGAAGCTTCGATTGGTTACGACGAATCTGATGTAGATTTGATATATGAAATTATGAATAATGAACAATTACATATAGAAGCTTCAATAGATTCATCAATAGATTTTTATGAATCAGATGTGGAAGATTCCGTGTTAGAAGATATGTCTTCTAATATAGAAGCTTCAATAGATAGTGATAAATCCTATGAATCGGGTGTAGAAGATTCAACAAATAATGTGTTAGAAGATATGTCTTCTGAATTTAGAGAGTTTGATGGCGAATATGGGCCATATTTTCCAAACTTTATATCTGCGATAATATTTATCTAGATTATGAAGCATATGATTTGTAAGTAACATTAATCGATATTTGAGTCAAAAATTTTTTTGATTTTTATTAACAGTTAATATATGTGTAGCAACCTCTGCGTATGAAGATCTTGTAAAGATCCTCACTCATTCTGAGTATCGAAAAAAAGATGTTGCTACAAACATAATGTACCTCTCTGTGTGAACTGAACTCCATCAACTTATGAATCTATAAAAAAAGCATTCACTATTTCTCCGTTAACACACTTAGAACATGTTTTAAACAACTCAGTGCTTATATCAAAAATGTATTTTGGCTCTGGTGTTGTTATGAATGAAAAGCGAGAATTTTGGCATGGGGAATTATGGCAGAATTCATTATTGTTTGGTGAATACAAAATAAAAAGTAATGATGATAAAGGTTTGTTTTATCAAATTTATCGAATCTATTGTTATATAAAAATAAATAAATAAAATAAATAAATAACTTGTTGTATTGTTTATTAGAATTATACAAAGCTGGAGATTTTTTGATATATTATGAACGTGCATCATTAGTTATATGTCGAGTACATGGAGTGGTAGTGGATGAAATGGATAATAATCGGTATAAGTTAAAAGTTGATCAAGCTCTTTTACATGAAGACCTTCCTAATATCCGTCCTACTGATAATCGGCATGTTCGTGGAGATAAAAAAGAATTATGGTTAATTGAAGGAGAATCAATATTGATTGACCCTGCAAATATAGAAAGATATATTAATGTTTGGTTGGTTGATATGCCGGAGCCTTTAGAGTACGAATATTTTATTAAGGAGATCGTATATCGTTTCAGCGGCAGATAGAAATATCTTAGCATAAAACTGCGACATAGATTGCCTTGCGAAAATATTACACTTATATCACCACCACAACACTTGCCCATCCTAAAGATTTTTCTTGATATTTATGTCGATGATTTTGGTACTTACAGAAATATATACCATTCGTTAGGCGGTGTTTATCTACAATTCGGCAACATGCTATTAGATTTTTGAAAACAATTAAAAAATCATTTTTTAATTGGTTTCATTCCATTTGGGGCCACTTTCAATGATTTTATTAAACTAGTTATTCAAGATGTAAAACGTTTTGAAAGTGGTTTTATTATGAAAACTTTGATTGGTGACACTTGGGTCATGGGTGGGGTTGGATGTATCACATCTGACCTGCTACAAGGAAATGATTTGGCTGGTATTAAACAGCATGGCGCAAGTCATGGTTGCTGAACCTGCAATGTGTCAAATGATCAGTATACTAATTTTGATTATAATTATGTACAAAATGCTCATTTTCACCAGCAAACAAAAGAACGGTTTATAGAGATTGAAGGTCAACATTCTAAAACTAACAAGGACCGATTAGGAGTTGAGTATGGTCTGGCTAAGCCAGGACCATTAAAGATACTTAAATGGTGATTAAATTTTTTTTTTGTTAAAAGTTAAACTACGTATAATATATACCTCTTATATATATATTAAGAGATCGGCATATCCAAACACCGCAAGATGCATATCACTCCATGGCTGGAAAAGCACACACTCTTTTAGAAACAACATTTAATATATTTAATTTAAATAGAGAAAATGCTTTTCTGTATTACTGGAAAAACATAGAAAAACCTGCTCATTGGTGTCGAATGCCCAATCCCTTATGTCACCATCAAAGTTTCATGTTTTCTGACGTGTTGAGGCTCGCAATGCTAATGTCTTTCATACTTCGAAGATTTTTAAAGCCCCATCATATTAGGACAGAAATATTAAACAATTGGAATATAAAGCAAAAT